AAAAAAAAAAAAATTTTTTTGTAAGTAAATTCTACACCCAATGTGGGACCCAAACACATGACCCTGAAATCAAGACTCACATGTTCTACCGACTGAACCAGTCAGGTACCCCTGGATCCAGATTTGAACTCAATTTTCTGAATTCAGTGTTTTTTCCTATTTCACTACTCCGTCCTATTTCACTACCTGGAGGAGGGAATCACTGTACATATCACATAGAAAACTTCCCCAACATCTTGATTTTGTAAGGGAGGAAAAACAATTTTCCCTTTACACTTCTGAATTCTTGGCTGAGATCCCTGTAATGAAAGACTAACAAGAAAGATTAACGAGACAAAAAAGCCACCAAAGAGTTAGCTTTAGACTTCAGGATTAAACACCATCTTAATAGGGAGAGGGGAGAGGGGATGTAGGAGAGGAGAGAGGGTGATTTTCAAGAAAGCTGAACGGGCCCTTAGAGGAACACACGGGAGACGCGTTAGCTTTCCTAGTGCGACGTCACTTCTAGTCTCTCCTGTGATAAGAGTCCACTCAATCTTTTCTGACTGATGGAGCTCCCAGGAAGCGGATTTACGACAATTGAGTTCCTTTTGGAAGACTTAGTTTCAGGCAGATGAGAAGAGTTCAGAGAAAGCCTCTCCCTGCTTGTGTTGTCTTTCAAGTGCCTATGGCTCAAAATAATCAATATGCCAAAGCAACGTATTTGAGGGTGGAAGGTCCTGAGGTCCCACCGTCATATATTGGGGTAGCATGTTGCGCTGGCCTTCAGTGCTTTCCTCAAATTTCTCTCCCTTTGGCAGTGGCCACAGTTGTTCCCTCCCTGTGTGTGTGTGTGTCTCTCTCTCTGCCTCTGCCTCTCAGTCTCTCTCTCTCTCTCATCTTCCAGTCTCTCTTTATTCTCTCAGCTACTGATTACCCTGGTGCCTTAGCCCCCAGGTCCAGCTGCCCCTTTTCTATGAATAACAATGACTCCACCTAGCATTCTCCTTGGAGAATTCTCTATAACCACTGCTGGTCTCAAAAACCAGAAGACCGCAGACCCCACCAAGTCACTGAGAAGATTAAATAGGTGTGTCAAGCACCCAGCACCGAGTGGCAAACGTGGGTTCCGCTCTATTGCCTTCCTTTCTCCTGGACAAGAGCAGATAGAACAAAGTGAAAAATGGGACAGAAAAGCAAGCTGTCCTGAAAAGAGCTGAACACCAGACGTTGTGCTGAGATTTTGGTGTATGTGACCTTGAATCCTGCTCCCCCCACCACATCTTTCTAAATTCCCCACAATCCCCCCTTCACCCAGTCGGGGGCCATTGTCTTCAGACATTACTTCTTGCGGCCACTTCCCTACCTGGCCCTGTTCACAGCTACCTACTGATTTGAGAAACAAAGGTAGAAGAAAATGGCAGATAAAATCAAATTTCCTTATAACCAGCAGCCCACTGAGAACTACTTGAGTCTCCAGGAACTCCCTGCTGTCTTAACGCTAATGCTTTGCTAGAGGAAAAAACAACCTTAGCTTGACAACAGCTAGGCCTCCAGTATCCAGAGTCTTCTTTAGCATATGAAAACCTCACTGGAAACTTCCCCTGGACTTCACCTCCCCCAACCCCATAGTATATAACTAGTCTCTCCTCGTGGTCCCAGGCAGGTAGCTCTTCCTGCCCACAGGTCCGGTCCCGTTCTTTAAAAAAATCATCTTTTTTGCACCAAAGACGTCTTCAAGAATTCTTTCCTGGCCGTTGGCTCTGGACCCCACAAAACCCCACTAGCACCCCAAAAACCTCATCACCTACCAAGAGGTGTTCATGGACCTCCCCAAGTAAACAGGCAAGTTATCATTAAAGGACCCCAGTCTCCCTTCTTGCTGCCTTGGAATCCCCCTGCATCGGACTCAGGAGCCATTGATTGTTCCAGTCCCTGGGAGCAACCCCTAACTGCCCCCATGTCTTCCTCCACGCATGCTGTCTGGCAGCTTCTTAAAAAGGTAAGTATGCATTTGCCACCACGTGGACGCAGCCATTCCTTGGGGTATTACCCAGGGCCATGAGAGGAGAGGATGTGTTCACACAAAGACTGGTACACAAATGTACCTGGCAACCGGATTTGCGGTAACCAAGGCCTGAAAACAAGCCAAATGCCCATCAACAAGAGAACAGACAAATGGCGGCCACTCCGCACAATGGAACCAGCAATGAAAAGGCGTGGAGCGTGGAGTGTGGCCACTCAGATGAATCTCAAACACACGCTAAGAAAAGAAGCCCACCACCCAAGTGTATGCGCTAGATGAGTCCATTTGTAAGAGCTTCTAGAATCTGTGGTGACAGACCACAGATCAGCCATGGCCGGAGTGGGGGGGGGGGGTGGCAAGGGGGAGGGGGGGAGGGGGTATAACTGCAAAGCGTCAGAAGAAACGTTGGGGGTCGACGGAAAAGTTTTATACCTTCATTGTAGTGGTCATTACCCCAGTGTATGCGTTGTCAAAACTCATCAAACTGTACGCTCGAAATGGGTGCATTTTATCATGTGCGATCCATACCTCCACCAGGTCGATCTCTTAAAACAGCTTCTGTTTCAGCAGGGCTCTCAGAAGCCGGCTCTGAATCTAACACCTGGAATGTAACAACTGGAAGAAGGAGCTGTCCCGGCGGCCTAAGGAAAACCATCCCCAGCTCTAAACCTGCGGGGCCCCACAGCACACTCCCCAGAAATCTTTCTCACCCAGGGTCCCGGTTTCCTAACTCAGTTCGCCATGCCAAAGTTCATCCTGCTGTGGGCTGGGAGCAGGGCTGGGAGCAGGCCTGGACTATTTCAGGCCCAAGGGCAACATCCCTGAGAAGTTCTATCTGGAAAGAGTGGGAGATCGCCATGGCAACCTGTCCCAGGCCCAGCCCTGGCAGAGCTCCAAAGCACACAAATAAAGCCATAGGAATGTGGTGCAGGGCTGGGCGGGGCAACTAGGAAGTTGCCAAGTTTCCATGAAAATCAACTGCGGGAGGCCTCAGCCTCTGGAAGGGGTCAGTAGGGAATCTTGAGTCCCAACAGCAGGATCAGCCCAGGGAAATGTAACACATTCTCAAACACACACACACACACACACACACACACACACACACACACACACACAGAGTACTGGTTCAATAGGAGCACTGGCTTCTGAGCCTGACAAACCGAGTCTGGTGCCCTAGGTCACTTCCTGGCAATCTCAGCAAGTTTCTGAACCAGTTATCCACATGGCCCACTCCCTCCCCTCTCCTCCTTGTCTCCCCTTCTCCAAGAGACCTTCCCTGATCACCTTAGACCAAACTGCAGCCTCCCCTCCACCCTCAACTCCTGCCCTGCTTGATTTTTCTCCATGGCTGCTAAGCACCACCTGACACACCATGTTTACTTGTTTATCCTGTTTGTTGCCTTGTTAGTATCAGCTCCGTGAGGGCGGGGATTTTTGTCTGTTTCGTCTATGCTCCATCCAGTGCCTAGAATGGTGCCTGGCACTTGGTAGGTGCACAAGGAACATTATAGAATGCACGGACTGCTCTGAAGCAAAATGGGGATAATTCTACCCCCATGGGGTTCGCGTGAAGGTTAAAGCAGTGGGCTTAAGGCTGTGGGTTAAGTCCCCAGCCCTTAGTGGGGGCACTAGTGTTATTCACAGTTATAGCTCTCCTTTGGTGAGACGTAATCACGAACACATTTTTCATTACCGCCCCTTAGCACTTTGGTCCATATCTAAGAACACCTTTCACTGGATCTTACCTTGCCTCCCCGACCCCGGAGCCCAAGAGCTTACCCCTGTCCTAGTTCTGCAAAACCACTAGATAATAAAGACAATGGAACCAGAGATGGAGTCCACAGAGAAACTCTCTCGCTCCAAGTATTTGTTAGGAGACTGAATACATGAACTAATTCATTCACAGGAAAGCAAGCTCTTCAAAAATGTAATGACGATTTGAACAGGCAGGAAATGCTTCACCTGTAAAAGAAGAGAACAGGTATTTCTTGTATCCTTAACACATGCCAGGTGGTGTGTTAGGTACCTGACATGTCTTATGTTGTTTCACTTTTGTATGAACCTTACCAGGAAGGTATCTAAGAATGAGGAAATTGAGGCCGGGAGGTTATGACACCAGCTTGAGACCTCAGAGCGCTAAGCAGTGGGGCAGGAGTTGAACCCAAAGTTGCTCAAGCCCCAAAGCCTGTGTTCTTCCTGCCACCCTACCCCACCTCCTTTGAAACTACTTGGGAAAAGGTCCCTCTGCCAAGCGAGGGAGTTTGGATATATTCTGTAGGCAATTCTAAAAATAAAAAGGCGACTGAGTATAGATATATCGAAACTCCTAGGAAGGAGGAATTATTTTTGCCTGCGAGAAATCAGAAAATCTACCAAGAGGAGCTGCAGGGGACTTGTATTTCTGGCTCATTAACTCATCTTTGTGGAGGTTATCACTGGCTTTTGGTTCTAACGCATGACAATGAACAACACTCTGTATTCATACACGTTTTCCATCTTGTCATATTTTCAGCAGGTCATCCCTTTGGGATCCTTTATTGTTATTTATAGCCGCGTGCATCACTTCATCGCCAGAATTTAGCGCGTTCTGGCAACAGCTACGCTCTCAGAGGCTGGAGCCTCCAGCACCACAAGCCTGAGAGAGAGCAGAGAGCATGGAAATTTGGAGCCTGCTCGGACCAGCTCTTGTGTTCAACGAGTCCGTATAGGTGGCTTGAAATTAGCCAAGGTGAAAATCTTGACACTGCAGAAAATGACAAATGCTACAAATCGAGGCTTTTCGTTCCCCCTCTGGGGAGCCAGTTGTTAAGCATTGCACCAAACACACACCTGGCTTAGCCAGTGGAAAGAGCGGATAAGAATTCTGGAGAGGAGTCAGAGGGCTTGAGTTTAAACTTCGTGTCATTATTAACTCACCGTAAACCTTACAAAGTCACTCCTCTTCCCTCGACCTCACTTTCCTGATCACTTAAATTTGGGGAGATTGAGTATATTCGAAAACCAGGGGTGCCTGGCTGGCTCGGTTAGTGGGGCGTCTGACTCTTGATCTCAGGGTCGTGAGTTCAAGCCCCACGTCGGGCGCGAGGTCTACTTAAAAAAACAAAACCAAAACACAAAACAAAAACAAAAGCAAACCCAAAAAACAGGACTGCTAGGTGCTGAGTTATTCCCCCAGAAGCAAACAGCTTGGCAAATCTTCAAGCAATTTTCAATAATAAAAGAAAAAGAACCCCACTCATTAAATCCCCTGAGAAGTCCAAATAGGTTAACTTAATAACTAAATCGTGTTTAGTGGTGCAAAGCTTTCAAAATCTGAAACCTGGGCGAAGGACAATAAAAGGCAGTCAGCCCTCTGTTGCCTTCAGTCCAACATACTGAGCATCTGAAATGGGGCAGTCACTGCTGGCCATTGATGCTATCACACTGTAGAAGACCCAGACCCTGCCCCCGGGAGCTGATGAGGGAGGTAGACAGACCTTAGGCATGTATCATAATTAGTGGAATCTGGGCTCTGATGGGGTAGGAACCAGGCTTTAAGACAGCATGCAGCGGGGGCACTCTCAGTGTTTGGGGAGCCGAGGACGGCTTGGGAGAAGGGACAGCTAATGGGAATTAAGTCCCGAGGTCAGACACCACAGGAACTTTGGGGGATTGCAATCTTCAAGAGGAGCTGGGGAGCGTGATGCAAATCAATGCTGGAAAGCCACGTAGAGCCTTCGGGATCAGGTAAAGGAGTCCGGAATTGATCTTTAAGGGCAGGAATTTGAGCTTTAGAAACCTTGTTCAGGCTATTATATGGAGAATGAATGGAAAGAAAGCAACACTGGAAACTGGGAGGCCAGTTCAGTGGCTTTTGCAGCGAATGAGGGATCCGGTAAACCGAGGCAGAGAGTGAATGGATTAGGGCCTCGTGATCCTGTGAGTTATCATAAGAAATACAGATCTGGTCTTTGTTGCCAGTCCCTGACACAGGGCTCTCAAAACTCTTGTAAATGCCTAAGTGAGAAGAGCACTGGGAGCTTCTTTTGTTTTACCGAAGGGACCCTGAGTGGGCTCCTGATGGCTCTGGATGGGGGCTGCTCCCCAGGAAGACCAAGCCGTCATTAGAAACTTGGAATTTCCAGCCACTCACCACCACCACTTCTCTGGACAGGTGAGAGGGGCTGGAAACAGAATTAATAATCAATCATGCCTGGGGCGCCTGGGTGGCTCCGTCGGTTAATCCTTTGGCTCAGCCCATGATCTCACAGTTTGTGAGTTCAAGCCCCATGTCAGGCTCTG